TAAGGTTAGGTTAGGTTAGGTTAGGTTAGGTTAGGTTAGGTTAGGTTAGGTTAGGTTAGGTTAGGTTAGGTTAGGGAAGGGAAGGGAAGGGAAGGGAAGGGAAGGGAAGGACAACAGTGCTTAGGAATGGGCATGGATGCATGGGAATGGGCACAGATGTATGAGAATGGGCACAGATACTTGGGAATGAACATGGAAACTTCATGGCCTGCTCTCAGTTCAGCCTCAATCTCCCGGCTCTCCAGCTGGAATCAAAAGAGGCAAATCCCAAAAGCAGAGATTCCCAGGCAATCCAATCCCTGGACAAAGAGCCACTACATCCCTTGCACTTTTGGGATCTGTAGGGTCAGGACATACCCCTTGATGTTTCCTCACTTCTTTTAGCAAACCAGCTTTAAGGAAACTGTGCCTGTTTTCCAGCATCTCCTAAAGAGCTGGAGAACAGGAGGAGGGTGAACTCCGACAGCGGTTACTGATGCTTCCAGTTAAAACACACCAGCCTGAACATGAGCAAACCCTGGGGAAGGATTATCCATGCCCTAAGAGGTGGTTTTCATATATCTCTAATTACATGGTTTCCTTGCTGAGGTTTGGAACGTGCTGGGCAGTGAGGTCGGGCTCTCCATCCATAAACTCGGCTCCACATGGGCCTGGTGTTGTGGTGGAGCCGTGCCCTGAGGCATCACAAACTCTCAGAGGGAATTAGAAATAATTGCAGTGGTTCTCTGTGGTGTTTGCAAGGCAAACAGCAGAAAGTGCAGGAAATGTCAGGCTCCAGAGCACAGTTCCATAGCTCGGCTCTCCTGGGGCAGCTGCTGCAGAAATAGGGAATTTTGTCTGGAACCTGCCTGTTAATGCCCAACTTCCCACTGATCCAGTGGCAATGGGGTGGAACTGGATGGTCTTTGAGGTCCCTTCCAACCCAGACCATTCTGTTATTCCGTGATTCTGCTGCCTGCCCTTTCCCTTTCCCAAGGTGCAAGGGACACATCCCGACTGTTCCGTCGTCCTCTATTTCCAAAAGCAAGAAGGGGAATGTCTGGAGATGATCAGGAGTGAGAGCCAAGCTCCAGGAACCCCTGGGCAGGAAGGTGAGTGTGAGCACCCACCATGCACCGGGATCATCTCCCTCGGGATTTGCTGAGGGGTCTCTGGAGGGTGATCCGTGGCAGAGGGTGGAAAATCAGGGATCTTCAGGGAAGTGGAAAGCAGCACCCAGGGAAAGGGTAAGGAAAATTCCTTGAGATCCCTAAAAATGCTGCTGCAGGGAGAGAAGGAGGCTGAGACTGCAGTCAGGGGGGCTGAGGGACACAAACAACTGCAGGGTCTCCATCCTGACAGATTTATGGAATCATGGAATGGTTTGGGTTGGAAGGGATTTTAAAGAACATCCAGTCCCACCCCTGCCATGGGCAGGGACACCTTCCACCAGCCCAGGTTGCTCCAAGCCCTGTCCAGCCTGGCCTTGGACACTTCCAGGGATCCAGGGGCAGCCAGAGCTTCTCTGGGCACCCTGTGCCAGGGCCTCCCCACCCTCACAGGGAGAATTTAGGGCATATGGCTCTTCCAGAGTGGTCTGTGCCCCTGGCAGAGCCTCCTGTCCCATCCACCTTCTCTGCACTGGTGCCAGGCCACCAGCACCGGCGTCACATCGTGCCTGTCACCACTTCACATCTTCTTGCCTTCCTAATTCAGTTAGTTTTCATGCAAAACGTGTTCTAAGCAACTTAATTTTTACATAGCTGGGACTTTTAAACAAATTAACTGATTGAAAAACAGTTTTGAGGAGCTGCCTTTTTGCCCGTTTTTTAAAATTGCGTTTCAGTTTCTGTCCAATAGCAGCAAACCCAATTTTCTGGGCAAAAATTATCACCTGGAGAATCAGAAATGCGTCACTCAATGGGTCTCATCTAAAACCAATGTAAAAATTAAGCTTCTCGATAAATGCGTGTAAAGGTGCATAATTGCTTAAGTAACTGCAGAGATGCAGTCTATCATCCAGCTTAGCAGAGAAAAGCCAAGTTGATTGGAAAAGGTCCATTTTGCAGCCCATTTTGTGCCAGCCTGGGGGAAGGAATCTCACTGTAGGAAAATAACCAAGGAGCACGAGTGCATAATTAAAATCAGGATTTAATCCCGTGTTTCCTGCTCGAGTGCCACCTCTGCTGCCCACCTGAGCTGGATTTATCCCTTCCCCCTTGCTCGTGCCAATGGGGAGGGTCCTGTGGACTCTGTGACACAAAGTGAGGATGCCAGGAAAGGCTCAGATCCCCTGGACATGGTGGGAGGTGCTCCAAGGTCTCCCCAGAGCCTTCTCTTCTCCAGGCTGAACATCCCCAGCTCTCCCAGCCTTTCCTCATAGGAGGGCTCTTCCATTTCTTGGATCACTTCCATGGCCTCCTCTGGACTGTAGGTGCTGTAAGTTCCAGAGGGGGCCAGGAAGATGCTCCAAGGGCTGGATCCCTCTGCTCTGGAGCCAGGCTGGGAGAGCTGGGGGGGTTCACCTGGAGAAGAGAAGGCTCCAGGAAGAGCTGAGAGCCCCTTGCAGGGCCTAAAGGGGCTCCAGGAGAGCTGGAGAGGGACTGGGGACAAGGGATGGAGGGACAGGACACAGGGAATGGCTTCCCACTGCCAGAGGGCAGGGATAGATGGGATATTGGGAAGAAATCCTTCCCTGGGAGGGTGGGGAGGCCCTGGCACAGGTTGCCCAGAGAAGCTGTGGCTGCCCCATCCCTGGAAGTGTCCAAGGCCAGGTTGGACGGGGCTTGGAGCAACCTTGTCCAGTGGAAGGTGTCCCTGCCCATGGCAGGGGGTTGGCACTGGATGTTCTTTATAATCCTTTCCAACCCAAACCATTCCATAATTCCGTGACCCCCAGAACTGAAGTGACCACTCTCAGTGACAGTCCCAGTGGCCCTGCTCAGTTCACTGATCCTGCAGAGCAAAAATGAAGCCATACCTTGCCATAGGAGTGACAGCCCTGCAAATCCCTCCCAGACTGGGCAGATTCCCACAGCCTGCTCTGCTGAAATCAGGGGAATTTAATTAGACTTGTCTGAATCCACATTCCCTGGCTGGGAATAGACCTGGCTCCAGGTTAGTAATGTATATTTGCAAGGTTAATAATGGAGATGTACAAGGAGGAGAGCTGTCCTGGAATGTGATGTCTGTGTCTCATCCTGGGGTGCTGCAGCACTAGTTCTTCAAGGCCCTGAGTCTGCTTGGCCGTGCTTATTTCCAAGGCAATTCGGGAGTCGTTTGAAGAGGAATTTAGTGCTGGAGACAGAAGCAAAACATGTTTCAGCTGATCACTGTTAGCAAGTCTTGCAGGGCTTTCTCCTGTCGTCTGGAAAGACATCCCGAGCTGAGCCTCCATGGCTGCTGGGTGCAGAAATACAGCATAAACCTGCATCATTTTAGAACCCACAGGCAGTTCCCAGCCCATCCCACACCCTCATCCCCAGGATCTCCCCACAGGAACTCCGGTCTGATGTAGCCCCAGGAAATACCGGGTCTTGTCTCTCCGCGGGGCTAAAAGGAGATCTCAGCGCTGGGGAGGGGGGGTTTGTT